TAGCTTCTATGTTCTCCTCTTTATCCTCCTGTTCGTTTACATTGCTCATTAGCCATGTGTGTTGGGAATATCATCATGCATGCTTATCTAGCATTATCAATTAATTAAAACTGGACGGAAGCGTGAAAATATAAAACCTTTACTTATCCTTTATTCTTAGACAAATGGATGTTAATCATAACATTTCACAGTAACCAACCATGCTTTTACTCCTTACCTCAAAGTAAACATACTTTAAAGGTCAGGAATATATAGAACCATCGATATCAAGCGCAAGAGGCTTATTTAATTACATTTCTTCCAAGCCTTATGCTTATCAGCTTTGTTTTTTATTTTCCTTATTCCCGCCTGTCCTTTAGAATTTTGTGGTGACGAATCTTTTCTGTTTGCTTCTTTATGATTTCACTGTCATAGGTCAAAATCAAGCTCAAGGGTCACCAGAAACGAATCACAGGCCTTGCATTTTCACAGAGCTTGAATGTACTGGTATCTTCAGGTGCAGATGCACAGGCAAGTTGATGTTTTTTCTCCTCTTTGAATTTTGCGTCTCTTGTATTCATTTCCTTTTTCAAGGGACAGCACTGTTGGTACCTGTGGATTTTGTGGTTTGCATTTATGCATGAATCTTAGTTTGTCATCTTTATACGGAGGGCAATTGTGCTTCCTTCGCAATTTTGCCATGTCGATGCTGTAGTAGTAATGTTGTATAATTTTAATGACATGCTAATAACAGAATATTTGGTGCTTGTTCTGTGATGCAGCTATGTATCTGGAGTGTTGATGGCTGGGAAAAGAAAAAAGCAAGGCCTATACAAGTGCCGCCAGGTCACCAAGCTCCCTTAGTTGGAGAAACTAGAGTCCAATTCCATAATGACCAATCTCATATACTAGTAGTTCATGAAAGCCAAATTGGAATCTATGATACCCAGCTTGAATGTCAACGTTCAGTAAGTCTTCACATTAATTTATTGTTAGATGCACACATAGAATTTATATCGATTGCACAGAAAACAGGTGTTTTAGGTTTACTCTACTTGTCAGTATATAACATTCTCATCTCTTCAATTGTGATTGTACTGATTGCACGTTTCTTGTTTGTTTGGGGTAAGTTTCCTGTGTTACAAAGGTATGCTGGATTTCAAGATACGATAGAAAATAATCATTAAGTACTTGGGATCTATTATGCTTAGTTGCACAGATACTTCACTTTGATGCCACACCCCTGTCAGATTCTCCATAAATACACTACTTTTGGCAAATCCGACACGCACCCATTGACATTTTTGAAGAGTCCAAGCAACATTATGGCAATGCTAAACCAGAATTGCTGGGAACCAATGCAATTGTCTGCGTTCTTTGTGTTCCCATTATAAAAATTAGTTAATTCTTTTACCGTGTTGACATTCTTTGCTCTTCCTAGTTTCTACTTTCCTTACTTGATTTGCATACTTTGGTAGTGTAGCTGCATATATATTGCTTGGCATGGCTCAACAATAGAGAGCTTTCATGTTGCATATTTTATTATGAACACGCTACATTCATTATCATGGCTCCAAAGTTTGACTCTTTAATTCCTTACTTTTCCTAGTCCAAATATTAAATGATTTAAGCATTAATATGTTGCAGTGGTATCCAAGAGATTCACTTTCTGCTCCCATTTCAAGTGCTATATACTCATGTGATGGTCTGCTGATCTTTACTGGATTCTGTGATGGTGCAATCGGAATATTTGATGCAGACAGTCTCAGACTTCGATGTAGAATTGCACCCTCAGCTTACTTATCTTCAATTGGCAGGTAGTCATGCTTTCCTTGGATAGATTCATTGTTTTGATGCATATAAATGATGTATTGCACATGTTTTGTGCAATTGTGACAAATATGGGAGTTGGAGTGTCTGTCTAGTGGGCTTTGATTTGCTCAAAATGCTTCAAAATGAAGCTTGATGTGTTACCATGTCCTAGAGAGTTCATGGGCTGTGGTGGCTATACCTCTCTCCTCTTCCACAGTAGTACTGCAGGCTTCCATTAGTGGATTGAAACGAATTTGCCTAAATGGAAGGACAAATTCAAAAGGCTGCTAGGTCACCCATTCGAACTGTAACCCAGCTCAGAGATCCTGAGTTTGACTTTTGCCAAGCCTAGGTCCAACCTTAACCATTCCCTCCCTGAAAACAGAATATCCGAAGAACACAGAAGTTCAATAGAGGAGCAAAGAGATCAACAGATAACTATAGTCCTTGGATAGTTTCCTATAGCAAGATTAATCAAACGTGTAAAACAGACCCTGAATAGTACCTGAACTATTCCAAGCAAACAAAGTACTAAACTCTATGATGCTAAATGCTGATGCCAGATCTTAAGTGATCTCTTGGAAACTTGCCTTTGTTTGGACACCAACTTAGCTGCTGGAAAATATATTACTCTAGAGTGGTATGTGAGTGTTAAGGAAAGTGATTTTCTTGCATACATGTGTTTGTTCAAAAGGAAAATGAAATTCTAAAAGAAAAAATGATCATTTTCCCCGTAAAACTTTGCATTATCTGGAGGACAATTTTGAAGGAAATTAACTTGCAAGAAAGTTCTTGACTGAATACACAATACGTTGCACAAAGTTGGCACTTGGATTTCTGCTTATATTTGGTGAAGAGGGGCACGAGCCTCTCTACATAGTGACATGAAATAATGACATGCTCATTACGCTATCTGAATTCAGAGTTAACGTTTCGTAACTGTTGCCAACTAATCTGAATTTCACTTGTTTAAGCAGCGGCAGTGGCGCTGCATTTCCTGTAGTGATAGCAGCACATCCATCTGATTCCCATCAATTCGCTCTTGGTATGAGCGATGGCACAGTGCATGTGATCGAGCCATCAGATGCAGAGCCCAAGTGGGGCGGTTCATCGTCTCAAGATAATGGAGCTATGCCTTCTATTCCCTCAAGTTCTGCATTGAATAGTCAGCCATCAGAAACACCTTCAAGGTGATGATACATTCAACATGATGATAGAAAGATTATGGTGCTCATACTGTTCTTTTTAGATCCTAATATTGTAAAGTTCTAAAAATAGCTTATTCTTTTCTATCTATTTTGACTATTCTTTTGGATAGAAGTCATTGTACATCTTTGATCAGCAGCATTTAGCCAAGCCATTTTTTAAAAAAAATTCTGTTTCTCAAATGGTTCATTGTAGGGGTGTGCAAAAACCGATTTAACCAATAAACCGAACCGAAAAAAAACACTATTGGTTTATTGATGTTGGGTTATTGGGCTAACGGTTTTTAAACGGTTTTGCAAAATTTTTTATTGGGTTATTGGTTCGGTTTTCGGTTTTATAATTTTTGTTAATGGTTAAACCGATAACCCAATAAGACTATACTAAATTTACTAGTCTTATTGTTAATGGTTAAACGATTGTTACTTTCACACTTTTTCCTTTGAATGTGTCTAGTGTCTAAACTTGCAAGAAAAATGATTGTTACTTTTATGATTATTACTTTCATGCCAAATGCTGGAAAATCATATGGTTTATTTGAAATTTCTTATCATGTATATAATATATATGAGTATTTTCTTATTGGTTAAACCGAAAATCGAACCGTTAAGTACCATAAATCGATTAACCAAAACCGATAAGAAATATGTTATTGGTTTGGTTATCGGTTTGATGTATTTACAAACCGAAAATTGATAAACTGAACCAATAACACCTAAAATCGAACCGAACCGACCGATGCGCACCCCTAGTTCATTGATTTCTTCCATCTTGTTTCTTCTGCCAAGTTCTGAATCATTTGATAACTTGTTTTTATGCATCTGCAGTGTCTTTCTGTTTTCTTACCTGTATTTGATGTTTATATCAAGTCGATGATTACATGATGTCTTCAAATATGCTGTTGTCGTTGGACATAGTTAATTAATCCACATTCTCATCCCCTTTGAAATCATTTATTAATGAGAAATGTAAACCCATAATTGCAGATGTAGAAGCAAATGGCACCAGAAATAATTTTGTTAATATAAAATTCAATTTAAATGATCCAATTTTTTCATTTGTTTGTGTGATCACCAATTCACCAACCGAAAAAGTTTCTTCTATTTACACTTATTATAGAGGAGTTAACTTCAAGATGTAAACTTTTTTTACAATAATCATGTCAAAGTGACCAGAAAAAAAACAATTATTATAATGTATATAATGAACATAGTTTTGTGAGTTATATAAATAATGTATTATTTTATGAGTGTTAAATTATCTAATTTTCTGTGAGAATTTGAACATAGAATTTTCTATTTTTTTGAAATTGAGATCACATAATTTTACATAATAAAATACTATAAGTCACAATTACAAGACATAAAAAAGTTTTGATCAATGAAAAACATCTTTGGCTCTCCAAAGAGTAATTACAACACATCAAGTGGGAAAAAAGAAATAATTTTGAAACTTGTAGGTTCTGCAACTAAAACATACCAAACTTGTGACCTCAAACATGTCATAATTTTTATGTGATTACAAAAGCTTTCTCAGGTAAGGTAAATGAAAATTGTATAGTAGTAATTTGTTTCCAAATTCAAAAATGTGACATCTATTTTGAAAAAGACTAAGGGTATTTTAAGTAGGAGAAAAATAATTTCCAACAAATATTTTCTAATTTTTTTCATGTTCGATTGGTCAAATGATATGAAAAATATTTTCTCTAAAAAAAATGACTTCTATAATAGAAGTAACGAAAACAAATTCCACGAGTGATATTCCATATTAATTATGTCCCTCTAACTTTCAACACACCTTATCTTCAACTCGACCCATATAGGGTAGATAATTAGGAGCACAAATCTTTTGAACTTAATTTTGGACACTATGATATTAATCACACAAATAGCTTCCCTCCATGCTCCTAAATCCTAACAAAAAGACAAACAAAAAAGAGAGCCAACGTACGCTAATCGTACATTCAAAAAGAGAAAAAAAAAAAAACAGGTAGCAGAGTGCCATTGGATGCTTTATTCTTGGCTCTGCAACTTTTCTTTTTGTTTTAGCGTGTGCTGGATGATGATAATGATGAAAGTACTAAACTTTGCTAAAACCCCTTTTTAAATTTCTTCTCTAAGGAGCTGAATCTGAAGATTTTCTTTGTTTTCAGTAATAAAAAAAAATGGGAGGACCTGTTATAGAAAGAAGAGGAGGTAGTGTAGTTTGGGTGCTGAGGCAAAATGGAACATGGTGGCCTGGGAGAATATTGTGTAGCAATGAAATCCCAACTTCTGGGATTCTTTCTCGTACTGATTTCAGTTCAAGATTTCCAATTAAGCTTCTTGGGAGAGATGATGCTTCTGTGTATGCTTCTTAGCTCTTCTTTTTTTGTGCTTCTTTTGTGGTTTTTGTGTTAGGAGTTAGAACATGGGATTCTTGAGTACCCCTTTTGTTTTTTCTTGGTAGGGAGTTAAGATTTGGTGGATTTTTTTTGGTAAGAACAAGAAAAGATGGATTTTTTTCTACCGTCTTTTGCTGCCAAGTAGTAAGAACAAAATATAGCAGAATTTTGTTGAATGTTGTTATACTCATAGAAATGAAGGTTGGTTATTGTTTATTTTGTTTTGCATGTGAGAAAAGAAGTTAAATATGTTTTAAAATCAAACTTTTGACTTAAGACCCTTTCTGTCATTACCATAGGAGCTGTCTCTTTTGCTGGTTTCACAGCTTAGGTTGAGCACCATAGTTTGTTTTTCTCAGTTTCATTTGCGTTTATTTCTCTTGATGCTGTTGGTAAGTTTAACCTGCGTACCTCTAGAGAGCTTCTTGATCACAGAGGAAACAGTGAAGCAGGACAAAACTGTGTCATATATGTTGCTGCCTTGTTCCTTTAGTGTGTTTCTTGATAGCTTTTGTGGTTCTTAAGAGCAGTAAATGAAGATGTGAAATCATGTTTGTGTGCAATTGTATAACGAAATTATCAGGTGTTGGTACAATTTGGAGAAGTCTAGCCGCGTAAAGGCATTTCGATGTGGTGAGTTCGATGGTTGTATCAAAAAAGCTGAATCATCCAAGAATTTTACCTATACTAAAAGCCTGAAATATGCACATAGAGAAGATGCAATTCTTCATGCTCTTGAACTTGAGAAGCAAGACCAAGAGAAACTGGAAAGGCCAGGTATTTTAGCTGTTAGACTCAGATTAGCTGTTGCATCTTTGTTGTATTAGACTGAAAATTGATGAGGATATCGATGCTTATTCGAGCATAAAATGATGTTTTAGCTCATAGAACAGTGATTAGGAGGGAATTTGATCTCAATCAAGATGACTGCTAAATATAATGTTCATGATTCCACATTAAGGAAAAAAGTGTCTCATCATTGTAATCTTGAAAGCTTCTTAAATAAAATCAACTAAAGAACCTGTTCGTAAATTTTGTTTGTACATTACAGTATTTTTTTCTGGATTCAAAGAGGGTGAGACTCATGGAGAAAGTAATCAAAGAGCAAAGAGAAGCAGACGTTTTTACTCCCCTATCGACTCGATATCTTTCTTGGAGAAATCAGTTCATTCTCAATCATCAAATATGGTTGCCACCTCTATTCATGCTGCAGAAATTTCTTCTTCCAAGTCCATGAGTTCCTTGAAGAGTGAATCACAGAGCTCACATAAAAAGAGAGAGACAACTGCAGGTTAATGTTTATCCTCTGCTTCTTTTTTTAATCCTTTTGTTAATTGTTTTGATACATGTACATCTCCTTTCGATTCCATCTTCTTTGAGAAAGTCGTGTGTTTGCGAATTAAATCCTCATCTTTCCTTAATTAGCATAATTCGAACTGGTTGTTTTTTCAAGTGTTGCCTTTCTCATATTTGAGCAGATGTTACATAATGATCTCCGCCTTACATTTATGAGCAATGATACCTAAAGCACTAGCACTGTAGCACACTTCTCTTCATTTGCTTTCAGTTTCTTCGAGTTATTACATCAGTGTGCTACTGTAATGTCATAGAAACGACATTGTCAGTGACTTCAACTTTAGAAAATTTACATCAAAGAATATACCTTACATCATATGATTTAAGTTTAACAATCATAGGAGTAAATCACTTGATGAAAGATGGAAATTTTTTCCTTTTCTTTCCCTCAGAATGATGCTGCTTAATAGAAGAGCACTACAAATGTCTAGAGTAGTTTCACGACCAAGCAATTGATTGGATACTGTTTGCTGTGCTGTTTTGATCTGTTCTGAAAATTCAGGTAACAATGCATTGCGACCAACGAAGATGAACTTCAAAGTCATCAGTCGTCCAGCAGTCAACAAATGGAAGCACAATGGGAAAGTGCATAATCAACATTTTAAGAGCAGATCAGTTGTTTCAACTAATGAAAGAAGTACTGAATTTGGATCTAAGACTGAATCATTTGAAATCATGTCAAGGGATGTCAATCGGAAGTCTCAGCTTAGTCCAGGAAACAGTTTCACAGAGGACACCAGCATCCAAAGCCTTAGTTCAAAGTTCACCACGCGGAAGAATAGTACCAAGACATTAATAGATGTGCATATGACAGTTCAAAGCACTTATAGAGGAGAGCATACTCCCCTTGTTTCCTTAATGAGTAGATTAAATGGAAAGACAATCGTCGGGCACCCCATCAACATAGAAGTATTATATGATAGCTCAATGCTTCCTGTTGAAAAGGAGAGCTCTGATCAACTGCAAAACAAAGGCAGAATGCCTCAACTTGTTTGGAGAACTTCAAAGAGAACTCCCGTCTGTTACACAAGCTCTACCTCTTCTGCAACTAAGTATGAGAACCTTCAGCACAGCAGCAACAAACTTGGAGATTTAAGTTCCCAAGCTAGGAAAAATAGTCCATTTAATACTGAGTCTCGTGGGAAGTTATCGAAGAAGCCAAACATGTCAAAGAATAAACCAAGATCACTCTACCTTGCTGATTCCAGAATCAAGAATGCTGTAAAAGATACATGTGTCCCTGTGAAAGACATATTCATCAAGTTAATAGGGGCACTTGGAAATGTATGATCTTAAGCAAGAGGTGTTCATATATATGGTGTATTTATTACCCTTTATGACTTTTTAAGTAGGAGAAGCTTTCTATAGATATTACAGTTTGCTTAGTTTTTTCGTTCTAACTGCTGACATTTTGAGAACTGTATATTGACATACTTAAGTAGGTTAATGTCTCCTCTGTAAGTATCCTTTTTAACTTACAAAAAATGAGCAAAATGATTGCTCAGTCTTATGTTCTTCTAATATGAAATCTATCTAATAGTCCTGTTGTAGTAAGATTGAGTTGCCTTTTACTATTATATTTCTTCAAGTACTTTTATTACTTTACAGTTAACTTTGTTTATGTTCCTTTTGCATAGTCTTAGTCATTTTTAAATTTGGATAAAAGAAAGAGAGTTGTGATAGAATAGTGGTTAGTGTAGAAATAATTTAATTTCTGATGTATCTTTTGAATGTTTAATTCAGTATTGGAATGATATGGACTTGAATAGATTTTGAGGTTGGGATTTAGTAGGAAAAACAAATTCCACATTTCACATTAATCGCCTCTAGCCATTCTCCAACACATCCACCCCTCACCCCACTCCCCATAGCCCCTCATCATCCACACCCCCTACCCTATCTCATTCCATATAATGTTCGTTAAAATACTAGGTTATAAATAAGAAATAACTTACATTTAAAAAAAATAAAAATTCCTTCACCCCCTAAATACTCATTTTTTTTTCCATGATAGTTACATGGGTATGAATAACACATTCACTCGTAGCTATGTTATTCCCTTGATCGCCTACTTATTTGATAGATTGGAAAAAGTCATGTTATTCATGAAATAGATTAAATATTCAATGAAAAGAGATTATATCTTCAAATATAAAATATTTTTCATAAAAAGACACGTAAATAAAAAACACGACAACTATGGTGAGGAGTGTGAATACTTTAAACGGAAAAGGGTCAAAACTACCCTTAAACTATCCAAAATAGCTTAAATATACCCTTAAACTATATTTCGCTCAAAAATATCCTTCCCGTCAAACTATTGGGCCACACCTATCCTTCTATTTAACAGAAGTATCCATGTGTGTGTAAAATGCCACATGGACACGCCAAACACACCCCACTGCCACGTAGACAAATTAAATCCCTAATTTCACTCTTTCCCCCCTCATTTCATCCTTTCCCTTAGAAATAATTTCACTTTTTCCCCCCTCATTTCATTCTTTCCCTTAGAAACAATTTCACTCCAATGACATCTTGTTGCATACGATGTTTCAAGTGAATTGATAGAGGATTCTGAAATGAGGGGGGAAAGAGTGAAATTGTTTCTAAGGGAAAGGATGAAATGAGGGGGAAAAAGTGAAATTAGGGATGTAATTCGTCTATGTGATAGTGGGGTGTGTTTGGCGTGTCCATGTGGCGTCCATATGACATTTAACACACACATGGATGCTTCTGTTAAATAAGGATATGTGTGGCCCAATAGTTTGATGAAAATTGTATTTTTGAGCCAAAATATAGTTTAAGGTTATATTTAAGCTATTTTGGATAGTTTAAGAATAGTTTTGACCATTTTCTCTTACTTAAAATTTCCATAATCCAAACTACTCGTTTCTCTTTTCAGCTCCAAAGTTGGTATAAACAAACTTTGAACTCAAAAAATTCACCAAAAACCCCAGCTAGGGTTTAAGGGTTAAAGCTTTGTTTGGTTCCAAAATTTTCACAGTTACTCAACAATGGCTACTCTCAGATACTTGCTCTCCAAATCATCAACGCCTCTAAAACTCAGCAATCCTTTCCATCTTAATCGTTCTAACAACTTCCCTCACATTTCCCAATTCCTAAGAGCTCTTAACTCTTTTGTTTCTAGAGAATTCCATTGCCATTCACCTAATTCTAGAAGTTTCTCCACTTCTCCTGAGTACGTCGCCCAAGACTCTGATTCTTCCATTGCAGCCGCTTTGAGTCTTGATAGTCGGGTTCCGGCGACTGTTATTACTGGTTTTCTTGGCTCTGGAAAGGTTCGGGGAATCAAGATTACATTTTTCTCACATTTTTTTAACTTTAGTTATGGTGACTTAAGTTATTGAATATTAGAATGAAACAGATTAAATGAAGGAATATGGATAGGGAGGAGGATTCATGTAGCTGAGCTCAGGTAGCTCGGAATTGGGGCGTAGTTTATTGTTTAGCAAATTATTGAATATTAGAATGAAATAGTTTATCTAAAAAGGTTCTTTTGTAGTATGTTTTTATATAGTTTTCAAAACATGTAAATTTTATTCACCGCGAGAATTATATAAGTTGATTCGTGCTCTGAATCCGTCATTTTGTGAATTTGGTGAAGGAGGGTAGTTCATTTCGGTTCAGGAAGTAAAATCTCTCATGCTCTTGAGGTTTTCACATTCTCATCTGAACTTGCTTTTAAAACTAATTGTATTCAACGGTAAGTTATGGAAATGTTTTCCTCCTTTTCTTTGTTTGTGCTAGTGGTTGTTGTGTTATGGTTTGAAGAAATTATGGCACTTTGTTGACTACAAATGCTGGAAAAGTTTATCATGTATGAGTAGACATTGTAATCCAGTTACCACAGATGTGTCTTCAATCCCATGTTTGCTATAGGCTTCAGATAATGAAATACATTAAGTGAACAGTCAAAGGTTAATGAAATTATGCCCAATGCAAAATTAGAACTAAATGATTTGTCCTTTTAATATCACACCCCTGTTTTCTTTTTCAGTTTCTTTTTTTAACTTATAATTACCAGGAATTTAGTGTTTCTCTATGTTGAATTGAGATATCTGAATCACGTTGCATGTAGAAGATGTCGGGATTAGTATACTTATGAGAAATGTCTCTTTTTTTTCCTTTTATGGATACTCTGGCAGACTACTCTGTTGAATCATATACTGACATCGCAGCATGGGAAGCGGATTGCTGTGATTGAAAATGAGGTATTCCAGGGTTTTCTCGTCTTATCCAGTTATTATTGTTAAAACTTTTATAACCTAAGATGGTTCTTTTAGCAATTAATGGATGCCCATGCCCTTTGACTTCCCATTTTGCATTTAATTATGTTATGGCTAGTAAATTTTGGATTATCTGCATTCACTCAGATTTTTTTATGGCTGATCCAATGCAGTTTGGTGAGGTGGACATTGATGGCTCATTGGTTGCTAGTCATTCTTCATCTAACGAGGAAATTCTCATGGTTAATAATGGTTGTCTATGCTGTACTGTACGTGGTGACCTTGTTAAGATGCTTTTGGAACTCGTTAAGAATAGGAGAGACAAATTTGATCACATAGTTATAGAGACAACAGGTATGTGAAACTATTTAATAAAATGTAATTAACTTTGTTCTCAAATGTTCTCAAGTGCACTTGTGGGCTCGATTTTGTTAATAAAACTTCAAGAACATCTGATTACAAAGTACTTATCAAAAGGGGAAAAAATCTGATTATGTAGTTTAGCACTTGCATGTCACTTCAATACTTAAATAGATAACTTTGCCTGGTATAAGCAGGTCATATTATGAGAAATAGCTAAGGTTCTTCTATAAAGTATGTGAAAACATTTTAATAGAGGGTTATGTTACCTTTCTCAAAGCATTTTAATAGAGGGTTCTTTCTTAATCTCTTTTATTGACTTGGATGGATTAAATTTATGTGCCTTAAGCAAATCCGCGTAGAAGTAGATTTGTATTAATCCAACTGGTAGCTTGTACTGAATTGCTTCCTTCTCCTTCAAACAATGTTGATGCAGTGATAAGAGTGGGAAAGAAGAGGGAAACATCTGCATATGTAGTGTTGGTCTTATGTTTTGATATATTGTCTGTTCCTGATGGTGATTCAAATGAAATTCAGATGCCTAGGACTTGGAAGCATGTAACTTCATTTAATTTGCAATGACTACTGCAATTTCGTTTATTTCTATTATCCCTCCGGTCTTTCACTGTATTGCATGAAGCCTTATTAGGCTTGTTGTAACTTCATGGATAACTTCAATAGCACTCTAAGTGGTCTGGGAAAGTTAATGTCCACTAGCATTGCTGACAGAAAAGTTTTTCAATTTTGCCAAATGTTGCTTACTAGCTTTCCGAAATGCACAATCCTTTGTAGACCCTCTTCCTCACGGAGAGAAGCAGGGCAAAGAAAAAACAGAACCACAAAAGGTGGGTTTCTGTAGTTTAGCCCATCATGAGGCCCCTGTAAAATGCAGACTAAATACTAATTATGCATCTTGGTCTGACTAAATCCTGGCAGCATGTTTTTCTTTAGAAATTGAAATTCATAACTCATCTTTAGTGAGTGTTAATCATCTTCCTAACTGCTCCTTTGAGTTACTACTTGTTTTCCAGGTCTTGCAAAGCCTGGTCCAGTTATTGAAACATTTTGTTCTGATGAATTGGTTTCAAGACATGTCAAACTTGATGGAGTCGTTACATTGGTTGATTGCAAGCACGCGTTGCAACATTTGAATAAGGTAAAACCCAGATTTGTGTCGAATGAGGCTGTTGAACAAGTGGCTTATGCAGATCGTATTATCTTGAACAAGGTAAGGAAGCTTCTAGCTTTTACTTGGTTACTCTTTTCCTTGCCTGCTGTAGGTTTAACCAATCTTTGGAAGCCTATATGTCAGCTTATGTTCTTCTGATTATGTTGACAGATAGACTTGGTAACAGAATCTGAGCTCGAAGTGTTAACAAAGAGAATCAAGGTAGAGTCTCTTCTTTTTTGGTCTTAATTGTCGTTCTTCTACAATCGCAGTGCAGGTAGTTGCTCTAATATAAACATGACTTACATTGTTGCAATATGTTTATGTATGAATGATTCAATGATATTAAGCTTGGAATTACCTTCCAAGGTAGGGGTAAGGTTTGCGTACACCCTATCCTCCCAGACCACTTGTGGGATTACACTGGGTTTGTTGTTGTTGTTAAGCTTGGAAATTGCCCTCTTGCTTATGGTGTTTTAAGAACTAATTTACTTAATGTGAAGGAAGAATTTCTTTGTTAGGCTCTTCCCACTGCGTTCTTATTGTATTGCCTTAATTTCTTCCGTTATGTTTGTTCCAATATGACTTGGTAATGCATTTTGAGCTGCTGCAACCTCAAACTTTTTTTAAAAAATAATAATTTATGTGGTATCTGTTTATTGTTTCTAATAGTTTTGTCAGCTAGGTAAACATCTGTATAGCCATTTCTGGTGGATATGCAATGTCTACTCCTTGACCCTGTATCTAGTTATATTTTCCCCTTTTTTCGATTATATTTA